AACCATTAATAACACATAGTATATATAGTATATAAGGAGAATAAAGGTGGGATGCTTCCAAAAAGCAAAATGATAATCCCCTCCCACCATGACCAAGGCAACAGAGTTTTCTGGCGGCTAGGAGTGTCTGCTCCCTGACTTGTTAGACTCCATTTCTTCAGGGAAGGAAGATTAGAAGGGTTCGAGGCAAGTTCACGCACAATAACCTGCCCACTTGGCCGGGTCTTTCTCGGCCCTCCACCCTATTGTCTTAGCCAGCTACTCTGGGATAGGCAGCTGTTTTACATTGGGTCCTTCAACATCTTCAATGGCTTTTCTGAAACCAGAAGAAAAACATGGTCCAAGGGTTAAAAAATAAAGAAGATGAAGACTTTTGGCCCTATGCCAAAGAACTGCAACCACAAAACAGACACCAACGGACCCTGTCCCCCTTCTCTTCCAGGCCCCGAGAGGGCTGGACTGTGCTAAGGATTATACCAACGGTTGGGAAGCAGTTGGACTTTCCTTTGGGTTAACAGCTGGTTAATGAAGGTGTGACTTGCCCCAGGACCATTGTGGCATTAGGTATTCCCAGGATAGATTCGAATGCTTACTTGACTTAGTTCTAACTAAAAACCAATCCTGGCTGAGCAGCAGGTCCACCTGAATCCCTGAAGTTGCATGCAAGTGTTTACACCTTGAATGCACCGTGGCCAACCTGTTTCCTTCATGCCTAGTCCGCATTTTCCAGAGGCCTCCATGCCAGTCTAGGATTGGCCTAGACCACCCCCCAGTCACTGACCCTCACCAGGGCTCCACAGTGCCCTATGGCATGGCCAAGAGGTGTGGGAGTTGTTGGAAATCATTTAGGTTGTGAGAGTCATAGAGTATCAGTGATATGAGTTCCATCAGTTTGGAAGAGGTTCCAAAACCAAATGGCATCTTGTTGGCTGCCAGGGAGGCAGTGTGGAAGTGAATTTGTAGAGTAAGATAAAAATTTGTAACAGAGTCACACACTTTCTTTTTGAAGCAATTCCATCCTTCACCTACGGGTTTAAAAATAATGGCAGGAAATGTCTTCCAGGTTCAGTACACAGGTGCTACAGTGAGGGAGAATGATGGGTAGCCACGCTTAGGTTGGCTTATGAAGTGGAAATTGTCAATTCGGCCAAGTGGGGAAGAAGGGTAAGATACTTATACTGAGGGAAAGAAGAGGAGACACTTCTCTCTGCTTTCCTGCCTTCTGAGTCACATTATCCAGAGATGCATTCAGTAGCGAATGTGGCTAAGGGAATGAATAAAGTGGGAACCAAGGTGGAAATATTTTAATAAAGATGAAATTTTAGGAGGGCTATCGAGAGAACATTTTCCAGCGTGCGCAGGATGAGGAGCAGGATGCCCACCAATCTGCAGTAGACCAGACCCACAAGGAGTTACTGGGTCTGCTTTAAGAACATTGGATCAGGGCCTCTGTGGAGCAAGCCAGAGGGTCTCTCCACCCAATTCTACTTTTTCAGTATTTTAAAGTATCAGCCTTCTGGAACCCTCTAGGAAAACAGTGCCTCGTACCCTGACGTACTTTTTCAGGTTTTTCAAAGTGTCATGCTTCTGACTGGTTATAAAACAGCCTTTTAAATGTATCTCCACGAAGAAGGTAGGAGTACAAAGTAATTGGTCTTAAGAGTTTCAAAAAACCTGAGGGGGGAAGAAGTGGTCTATTTAGAATTCAGGATTGTCTTGCTCGAGAGATGACGAGGTCAATGGTCTGGAAACTGAACTAGTGTCACCCCCCCCCCCCCCCCCAAAAAAACGTTCTTGTCTTCCTTACCAGCCAAAGGAGGGAGCTTATGAGGCAGTTCACTTGAACACAGGTGAAATACGGTACTGCTTATTTTCATCTCCAACTCATATTCTCCTTCTTTTGCTCCCAGACAATTAAAGTCAACATCCAATGTTTCCCTAGCACTACCCTTAGTTCAAACAGAGAAACAATTAGGCAACGCAAGTTGAAGTCAAATCAGTTACAGAGCCCCACATTTCGACACCATACATACATTTAGTCAGAGAAAAACATGTATAGGTGTCAGTAGAGTAATAACAAATTACACAGCATGACACAGGAACTATCTTCATTATGTCCAAGTGGGATGTTCCGAGCACATTATTAGGCTTTCAATAAAATTGTTCAACACTATAATAAAATTCATCTTTGAATGGTGATACCAGCATTCGGTCAATGAATATTATTACATTAGGTCTACCCAGATGAGCTAGGTCCCTTAAAGGATCCTTATTTGTCCTAATACATGCTGTGACACAAAATATCTGTAGTGTTGATACATTTATGCCTAGTGTTCCATTACTGGAACACTAAGCTTGTGGGAGTTATTTATATCCTACTGCTGAAGGTCATCACCAGGGTCTGATTTTTCACACAAAAAAATTTTTCAATCTCTGGCATAAATGGGTTAACCAAATTTGATTAGGCAAAGAGATGGCTCAGTGGCCTCTCATCTCTAGTGCATACATATGACCACCTTAGATGGGGAGAGTCTGACACCTACAAACTACAGAACACCCTGAGATGGTGATGAGCAGTGTCTGAAGGTGCTGCTTAGCAGACATGGGAAGGGATGTACCCACTGGGGGACCATCTCCAAGCCAGCACATTATACAGCCTGCAGCTATCACAGCAGAGCATTAAAAACTCACAGTCACCCGACACTGACCCCAATTCTTTGAGCCTTACCAAACAAATTGTTGAGAAGCTAGAGACTGTAATGTATAAGCAGATCACTGATGCATCAAGCATGGAAACTGCATGTTGCTTTGTGAATATTCCTGGAGCTCTCATTCTGTGAGCCCACTTGGGCCTTTGCTTTCTTCCCTCCCTGCCCTACTGCAAGCAGAAAATGAAGGCAGCTGAGTTCCGATGAGAGGATCAACGAGAGGTTATTTCAAGAACTTATTTTGCTTATCTCTCTTTTTTTTAAAAGATTTACAAATCAAGTCCTCTTCTTGAGTTCCTAGGTTTAATATTATCATTTGTGATTCATTCACTAAAAGACTGCTCTATGCGTGGTGGAAGAAGAAATGATTAGGAAAATCCTGGATAAGCCAGCTCCCTTTCAAGGGGATCAGTGTAGTGTCCTCAGCCCCCCACCCCCACCTAAAAACCAGGTCCCATTCAGCCCAGCCAGCTCATCTCTGCAGTTCCAGCTGTGACCTACAGGTGTCGCCCTCCGCATGGCGAGGCCCGGAAGGGCTGCTGGCTGCAGGAGGCAGACGAGTCTGGGACACCTAACCTGAGCATGTGGAAATAATATATGTCTTCAAGTGAACTGTCTGGTCCTGTAGATATAAAATAGGACGTTCATAAGCAGTTACACCATCTGTCTTTATACCATCATCATCAACAGCAAGAGGAAAAATAGCTCTTTAAAATGGATGAAAGCCCAGGCTGACAGTAACCGGAAAACTGTGAGCTCTGAATACCAATAAAGGTAGAGAAATGATTAAAAAACAGAGACGCAAACTGAAAATTCCTCTGGACAGCTCAGGCCCACGATGCTTTGCAGGCAGGGTGTGTTTTATTGGTTCCGAAAGCATAAAGCAAGCTGCTTACCAAGAGCCAGGCCTGGGGAAGGGCTTGGTCTCCCCGCCCTGGAAACACGTGGGAACCAGGGGCAAAATGGCATCCCACTTTGAAACAGAAGTCTGCGTCCACACGCTAAGCTCCTAGGGCTGTTATCTAGGAGCCCTTGTTCTCTTTAGGAATGTAGATTTGATACACACATGCTGGAGAATGGAGGGGAGGTTTTTTGTTTCTTGCTATTTTTCCCCACGGATCACGGATTGCATTCCCTCCTCTTCCGCGAAGTCAGTGGCAACTGGCTGGGTCATTATTACAGAGGCTGCAGATTTTTTTCCCCTATAATATCAGCTACTGACAGATGATGGGAACAAGTGAAGACTTGATGGACTGATGATCAGTTTTATCTGGAAAATCCTGTCTTTCCTATAGAAAAAGAGACCAAGACACATAACAGCCACTGTGCCATTTTTAAGGCTGAAACAGACAAATCAAAACCATCTTCTCCTTCAAGCATTTAACGGTATTTCTGATCCCAACCAGAGCACACTAGGAATGCTTTCCCAAGGGCATGGCCAGGATCTGGGAGAGGAGGTCATCCCCACTCCCCTAGTCCCACCCTGGTTCTGGGCAGGAGGTAGCAGGCCCAGTGCCTCCCAGACAGCTCTGTGTTTTAGAAGACACCAGAGAAGGTGCCTTTAAAACCCCTGTGGAAGCCCACAGTAGTCTCAAACTGGAGCACCCCCTCCTGTATGTGTTTTCATATTAAAGAGTTAGGGAAATAAAAGCAAATATTGGAAAACTGCAACGTCTTCCTAGGGTCCCTTCTGCCTTTCATTTCCATCTTCAACGGTGACTGAAGGCCTTTAAAAATCTCTTTTCTGGCTGGGTATGGTGGCTCATGCCTGTAATCCCAGAACTTTGGGAGGCCGAGGTGGGCGGATTACTTGAACTCAGGAGTTTGAGACCAACCTGGACAACAGAGTGAGACCCCCATCTCTACAAAAAATGTAAAAATTAGCTGGGTGTGATGGCACACCCTTGTAGTCATAGCTAACTCAGGAAGCTGAGGTGGGAGGATTACTTGAGCCTGAGCAGTTGAGGCTGCTGTGAGCCATGACTGCATCACTGTACTCTAGCCTAGGCAACAGGCAACAGAGTGAGACCCTGTCTGAAAAACAAAACAAAACTCTTTTCCATCACCACCTCCTTTTTACAACTACTTCTCCCAAATAGCAGTTACTTACTAGTGCTTGGCCAAATCCATTCCATCCTGCTCATCAGTCAGGCCACCTGGTTAAGTGCAGAGCTCTCAAGTGCAAGAACTCCAGCAGATAAATACCTTCTAAAGCGGAAAGCTTCCTAGGATAGCTTCAGTTTTCAAGGGGATGATACCCCAGTCCCAGAAAATTTCCCTTCAATCAAAATGGTTTTGCTGACCACAAATGCAAATTGATCTCTTAATATACCTTATACTTAGCATCTTGGTAAAGGTGACTGCACAATTCCCCCATCGGTGGTGAAATCTGCTTCCAAAGGAGGCAAGCGTGCCAACTGGCAGCCCTATGGGAATTTGCACCAATCTTATGAACAACCTGGAAACTGGTTCGTGAAAGCAGCACCAGGCAGAAGCCAAAAATAGAGGTGGCATCACCACAAAGTCAGCATTCAACCCCGCAACCTCACTGAACACACTCCCTGAATGCATCACCCAAGAATATGTTCCAGTTGTTTAAAAAA